GCTCTGTGTAAAACCACAGCTGGAGAAAAAACTGGGCAACATCTGAACAGGTTGCACATACACAAACATAAATAGACTAAGAAAGAAATCTTTGGAAAAAATAAATTCTCTAAAGCATTTATGTTTTTATGTTGCTCACTTTCCTATTTGACTTTATGGTAGTGTTTTGCATGATTGCTCATCTCAAGCAGCTCAGAGGTCTGGGTCAGATGAACAACAGCTTGCAAGAGCTTTGTCATCTCGAAGGCGATTTCCAAATGAACATTCTTCCTGTTGTAGCGTGTTGAGCCCAGCATAGCCCTCTGGTCAATGGTGCAAGTAGAGCAACTGCATCCCAGTTTTTCCCAGTAGAGAAGTAAAGTTACAATTTGCTAGGTTAACCCCTCTCTGTTTGTGCCCTGCTTTTTTGCAACAAACTATGAACTAAGTTCTTAGACCTCTCACAAGCTTTAAGTAGTTTCAGTAAGACTGAATGCTATATATGTCAATACCTATCAAGCATTACCTTCCTACATGTCCAATACTTTAGTTTCCACTGTTTGATCTCTCAGTTTGGACACAACCTAAAATTCTGCATGAATCAATGCTTTTGTAGCAGCAACGAAACAACATTAAATTGCATTCTAACTCCTGAGGTAGCATGTGATTAAATGAGGTAAAAATTTAGTCTTGTTGCTGGTGGATTGTTGGTTCAAGTCACCGGATGTCTCCAGTGACTCCATCTGTCTCGTTTGTTGTGTCTTTGGGCAAGGCATTTCACCTGCCTTGCCTGCTGTTGTTGGTCAGAGGGCCCGATGGTGTCGGTCAAATGGCAGCCTGGCTTCTGTCACTGTGTAGCTTGTTACATAACGTTGCTTACTGCCGTCAGTGGAGCTCTCAGACTTGATAAAATGCTTCACACATACAGATCATTTGTCATTGAACCTAAGCAGACTCTCTTTGTGTAAAATGAGAAAAACTTACTCACTTGGTAATGTTTATAGTAACTCTCAACACTGCAATCTATTTTTTGGTAAATGCAGCTATTAAAAAAAACTGCAGGCATATTTTATATTAGTGATTGAATTTTCATCTGCATATCACTGAGTATGAAATTATGACAAATAAAACAAGGCTCTGTCATCATGTGAAATGTAATGTACTCCACTTTTAGGCAGTAGTACACTGGTTTCCGTTCTTAAATCTCCTGTCTAATTGCAAATAATGAATAGAGAAGATGTTAAAGACAATATAAGGTTTGTCCTCAAATGAAGGCAAGAGACTAAAAATTATGAAAGCTTGCTGTCAGAGGATCATTAGATGTTTCTCTTTAAGATAATTTATTTTGAAAATAATTTACACAAAGTTTACCAAGTATTTGATTACTATCAATAAACTATTATTGGATAGGTTTAAATTAAAAATAAGGGAAAGATCCCTCTCAGAAATATCTCAAGCCTGAGTTGGCCTAGATCTGGTGCAAAAGTTTATTCTGCATTCTTGCTTAGTTTTACATGTATTCCTTCGCTCATTGAATTATTCATTCATTTCCAAGGTGCTTCTAAAACAGTTTACTGTTTTACCTCACTGTAAAACACATTGATGCTTTCACTGTCTTATCTCTGCCTGCCCATCCCTTTATCATCACCATCAGGACTCAAATCTCATATATGATTTTTTTAATTTAATAATATCCTTTTGAAAATCAATAATTGATCATTTTAAAAAGGACTTTGCTGTATATAGTCAGTGTTAAAGCAGCATTACATGATGTACAGTATGAGTTTTAGCATATTTTGGTGGCACACTGATACAAGTAAGACAATAATTGTGAATGTAGGACCTGAACCTGCCTTAAAAAGCCTGAGATTCACAGAGTCCCAACTTTTATTTTTCACTTTTTTAAAGATATTTCAGGATATTGTTTTGCTTTTGTGACCAGTCCAGTCAAACAGGATCAATCTGACTGCCTGGCAGGAGAGAGTTTGTAAATAAATGCAGCTGGGGGGGAAAAAAAACACAATAACAAAAATATTTGAACAGGATTTGTATTTACCTTTTCATATAAATGTATACCTTTTCACTTTCCTCATAATTACTGATTTCACACTGATTGCCTAAAGCCTGTTTGGTCAATCAGCTCATTTGTTACTCAGTAAAGCATTTGTTGCCTGAAAACGTACGGTCTGCACATCATTTTAAAACATACATCCAGCAGGGCATACTTTACACACCCATTTAGCCATGTAAGTGACTGATAAAAGCATAGGAGATATTTTTGGGGTGGTAATATTAAGCTATTGTCTGAACAATTCAATGAAGTCATTAAATCTGCAGATTCTGATTTTTTTCGGGCTGTTTTTCCTGAGGTGTTCTTTTGTATTTTCCATAATTGCTTGCTTAGTTTTGGGGTGTTTAATGACATAATAAACTGGTATAGATCACTATGACAGATTATCTCTGACCTCCTCCTGCTGGCAGGAAAGCTTTGTCGTCCATTTAGGAGGAAAACTCGTCCCACCCCACTGTCTGGGTCTGCCCAGGTTTAGCATAGAATAATCAATGTTTCTGATAAAAAACCATTTAGTGAGAATGTTTCAGCCACTTTTACTTTCATATTTACTGACATATAAATAAAGGTATCTATAAATACATTATCTGCCTCATCCTTAATGTGCTTTGGGTTATTTTAGTGGATATTTACTTTTGCACACATATAAAATCTCTTTTTTTATATATTCAAAGCAAAAATCCCTATTTATCATAAAAAGAACAGCATATTTTCATTACCCTTAAATGTCAGATTTTCAGTGTGACTAATAGCTTAGGTGATTAGTTTTTAGTATTAATTTGAAATAACTTCCCTGCCCTTTATTAGTAGACATTAATTAAATTATGAGCTTATAAATTCAGTCTTTCTTAATTTCTCAACGTCAAGTATGTTAAAAGTGATAGAAGGTTTTCTTGAATGATTTTAAAAATGCAAACCTTTTTCTTTTAACCAATCTATTATAACCAGTCCGTCTTTTGTCATAGCAAAATACTTCTTCTTTTATTTCATTGAATTATCTCATAATGCTCTATATATATTTGGGGTGTTTACTGAAAGTTAGATGAGTAAATTTATCAAACTTCAGCAAAAGGCCACACATGAAATTTATGTAGGATTTCTTACATTTCAGCTCTTTTTTAAATTCAATAGCAGATGTGCTCTCTGTGAAGTTAAAAAGAAGGATACTAAATTTGAAAAAAATCTAACTGTAATGAAACCGCTTTAACTCTTCATTAAATGTCATTACTGTTGTTTGTTTTGAACAAAATCATCAGATATGAACGAAAAATAAAAATGTCGTTTATATCAATAAATAACACATATGAAGTTTTTAATCTTGTAGATGAATTACCTTTTCCTACTGTGCTATACCAGTCCCCCAGAGACCACCACCCACAAAGTCACAACATCTTGGACATAAGTATCCACCATTCATATACCCAGCCGTACATAAATGCAACATTTTCCCTACTTATCAGAAAAGTAAAGGTGTATTTCTCCTGCCTTCTATAGACTTATCTTCTATTACTTGGCAGAACTGCAATGTTGTATTCATTTGCTGATATTTAAACTCCATGTTCTGTACTGAAATTAAAAGGGCAAGGGGTGCCAGGGAAAAACGAGTGAGAGCCGAGTACTTAGATGTGGGAAAATGTTGACTACCTGTTGCTATGGCAATGGGTTTAGATCCTGCAGGCTGCAGGACTCTTGCTGTTTCTAAATAAAGCATTTTTTCACACTGATCTGTGGATGAAGATACTCACAGCTGAAGCTAATCTTCTGAATTGTATCAGTCTGTGAAAACACCTAATACTTGCTGTAAAACATAGGATTATAGATAAGATGGTGAACAATAACGGGCACATGCTTGAGTAGTGTTGAAATTCTCAGAAACACATGCAGGCTCATTTAAACCATCCTGCTGCTGGTCAAATCTATAAAGCTATATTTGTTTATGGCAATATATTTGGTACTGACTGAACTACTATATCTTCCTGTATTTTAAAACAAGGTTGCATTATGTGTTTATGTGTTTTTATTGACTTCTAAAGCAAATTTGATTGGAAATTATGATTTTTTTTTCTTTAAGATTTATTTAAATCAGTCTATGTATTGAGTTAGAGTTTAACATATCTTAAGGGCTATGTATCTACAAAAAGTTTCAATGTGGTGGCTTTATTACCGAAATGAGAAATGCATTATTACCATTTTATCCTGCATTCTTTCTCTCAGTTTTTTGAGTCTTGTAGAATATCTTACTTTTGATATGTTCACAATTGCACAAATTAATTTTTTTTATTATTTATAAGAATGAGGGAAACATTCCTTTATAACACATCTTTTGTCCCAGTTTGCTGTCTAGTAACACAATACCTTGGTCCACCTGTAGGGGGAGCCTGTGTGCAGAGAAACGAGGACACAAATAGGTTCTGAGACCACACACTCCTCGTTTGTGATGGGGACTTCCATTCTTGCTTCAAGTGGGTTTGGGGCCATTTCACAGACAACATATTTAGTCATTTTCCTCCCACTCAAGGATACAGCCATCATGTAGTAAATAACCAAGTTTATTAAACAAACGTGTCTGTGGGTAATTTTTGCTGTGTGAATGGCCTGACTGTTTGTATGCTTCCTGAGAAAGTGGGAGTTCAACATGACAAATACATAATAAAAAAATCTAAAAGGCTTATGGAATTTACCTGCACTTTATATCAGATATTAAGATGTCTGTTTCTAGGCAACCAGAGATTAATACACAATTAATGATATGGGAAATTGGACGTTTTCCATCTGGTTAAATGTGCCCAAGAACAGTATTTTTATTTGAGGTTTCTTTTTTCCCAGACGTTGATATAAAGAGATTTGTTGTTTGACTTACATTAACCAAAAATGGCTACCCTCTAGAAGAACGTTGAGTGTGTTTATTTTTACAAAACAAACAACATTTAACAGTCAATTCTCAGTCAGCACCTTAGTGTTAGCTTTTAGGATCCCATTCTTTATGATTTGCCTGACTGAGCCTCTGTTTGTATATTACCAGGGCTACTCGCTGCTGACTGGAGAAATACGAGGAGAGACTCTCACTGGTAAGACTGGAAATGTATAAATTAACTCCAAGTGATGTATTTAAACTCCCGTTTGTAAAAGTACATTTGTTTTCTGAATTTTGATTAACATATTTTTGAGCTTATATAAACTTTTTTTTTTTCTATAAGAAGATGTTAATTCCTAGATCAAACAAAATTATATTTTTTTCAAAAACAGTTTGTCCATGTATTGGTCTACACACTCATGGGGAAGACAATTGACTCTATGCCCAGATGGTAACCCACAGAAAACAGAATGGAAATCTAAAAAAGGAAGGTCAAGTGGAAGGAAAACATTTTGTGGAAATCAGTATAACAGTAATTTTGAATGTGATATATAGCTGATCAAAAATGACAAAAAAAATATGCTAATTGGTCAAAACAAAAACAAAACAAAAAAATTTAAAAGCCAGACCAAGAAGAATAATAGTTAATTAACATAAGAAAAAAAAAGTGAAATGCTGCCTTAAAAAGATTGTGAACTGTTGCATTAGGAAGTCAAAATCCAAAAATCTGGAAGACAATTGGAGAACCACAGAGTCCACATAACTTAAAGCTCCAAGTGAAGTTTCCTTAGTCACTGAAAATGTGATCACTGTAGTCTGCCAAAAGAGATTGTTTTCTAACAGGATTTAGCACTTATCATCACTGCTAAAGGTACCAAAAGCTGGTTCAGTGATCATGTTGTTACTGTGCCTGATTTGCCAGAAAACGGTTCTGACCTGAACCCTATTAAAAACCTATGGAATATTTTAAGAGGAAGATCAGTGAAACTAGTATCAGCAATGCAGATGAGAAGCACTTTTATAGGACCCTGGGCTTCTTTGACACATCATCAGGCTGCCTCCATTCCACTTTACACTGCGGTTATGATAAATGCAGAAGGAATCCTGAACAACCGTGGAGTTCATACACAATCAGGCTGACGTTTCTATTCAACAAATATAATAGAAATATTTTAGATAGAGGTGATATCATATCCTGCTTTTTCATAAATAATATTTTGGTATTTAATTAGTTACAGTGACAGAAATTAACAATTGGAATATACAAGTCTGAAATAAACCATATATTAGTTTTGATTTTATATTACTGTGAAATAATATGTTTTATTCAAATGGATATAAAAATATGTTTGAGGTAAATTAATAATCCTAATTTTAAATAGCTCTATTTAAGTTTTACTCAGCCATCGATTAAATCTAAATAAACGTCTAACAGCCGGCCTATTAGCCATAACCCACTATGACTATTTGGGTCACAGATTTATGAACCTAGAACTGCTGTTGGTGTAATTTCATCTAGAAAAACAAACCTGCCAGGGTTTGTTATAACTTATATTGGATATAGCAGCTCACCACTGCCAGCTCTCCTGATTCTGGCTCTTTGTTTTGCAGATTACCTTCCACCGACGCCACCGCAGAGGAGTGGTTACCACCGTTACCAGTTCATGTTATTTGAGCAGCCTCCTCACACAAAGATATCACTCACTAAAGAGGAGTCCTCCCGCGGTAATCACTCTATATCTTCAGTCCGCAGAGATCTTAATATTCCCTACAATATTCATCTAAAAACTAGCAAATACTGACATTTTCTTCCAGAAGATTACAGACATTCAAACTCCTCACACCCCCCTAACAGTAACCACATCAAATATATTGTCTTTTGATGAAAGAGTTGTTTCGGATCAGACATATCAGTGGGATTGTTTTGTCTGTTCTCACAACTGTAAGGTTTTATTACATCATTTGGAGTTATATCTGGTGGGCAGTTTTTGTCCGAGTGCTTGAACTTAACAAGAAAAATGTTAATGAGGTTAGTGAGAAAGTCTGCGCTGTGCTAATGCCCGCCAGGGTCACGACGAGTATTACTGGCTCCCACGCACACCTGCACGAGTCTGTCTGACCGTGTGTTGGTAAACCTAAAATCCCCAATCAGCGATGCCAGTGCACATGAACAAACGGTTCAGTTCGTACATTAATTACTGCTGATAGCATTACCATATCTTTGTTTTGATTTTGTTTGTTTTTTTGTCTCTCAGAAGTCAGCCTTGTTTGTGTTGCAGAGATTTTTGTTTTCTTTCTTTCTTTTATTTTCTTTAACTTTTTCACTATTTAAAGTCTGTGGGAAGGTGTGAAGCGGCACTCAGATGCACAGCAGCTCGCAGGAGGCGTGTCTCCCTGTCTGTTCTACTCGGGTCACAGTCGGTGATTTGAGGGGAGATCAGGGCGGTTTGAGACTTTCAAGTACAGCAGCGGTGAACAAGTGGAGCTGCCATTCTCTGCTGTTTGAAGTTTTGACAGCTTTGTCAGCAAACAGTCCAAGCACATTAGGTTGAGGTGTGTTTGATGTTTCAAGTTTTGGGAAAAGTAATATTAGAAGAAATGAACTGTTTTTGTTTCATGCCAAAGTCAAATTTGGGGTGAGCGTTCACCACAGAGTTAAGGTATCCAGTCTTAGCATTTATTGAAATGCAGAAGAAAGAACAGCATTAAATATATAGTATTTCAGTGCAATGCCTAATAAATAAAAATTTTCTGCATGCAGTGCTAACACTGACCCCAACCCCCCCACCCCGCCAGAAGCAATTGAAGTTAGCGGATCCACCCATCCTTAATCTACTGGATGAGTTTAACTCCCGCTGTAGCACTTCCTCTCTCCTGCACAATCTATTCAAGGGAAATTCAATTAAGAAATTCACTCTTGGATAATCAAATGTTTCATTTGAAGGGTTGGTTCTTGGGTGAATAGCTGTCCTTATGAAGACTGATGGGATTAAATGCTGAGAAATAGAGATAGTTTAACCTTGCATCTCATTAAATTAGAGGATCATCCGAAAGGTCAAACTGTTTAACCCTTTCATTAATATCATTCATTATTTATTTCAGTAACTTTTGATCACTGCAGCTTTTTGCTAGAGATATCCAAAAATTGAATTCGTCCAAAAAATTGAATTTTTAAGCAATTTGTTTTCTCCTTAAATAGACCTTATGGCCAGAGCAATCATAGAAAACTGACTGTACAGTTTTCTTGCAGATTTTTTTATTTTTATACGGAGCATGAGGTTGCACAGCCCCAGACTCTTCTTCTTAAAGGGATAGTTGTTCACACAGTGAAGGGGCAATATTACTGGAAAGTTGAGTGGAAGGAAGAAGTATTGTAGGAGAAAGAGCAACAGGGATAGATGCAGGTTTTATATGATTAAAAAGCAGATTTTTAGGGGATTTCAAAAGGCTTGGATCACAGATGGAGTCTTCGCTATGAGAGCACCACCATTATATACAGGACATAGGCAACAATTGTGGCATTTCTAGACAATTGTTCTAGAAATGCTGAATGCTCAAAAGTCCATCTCAAAATTCTTTTTTTTTTTTTTTTTTGGGACCCAGAGTCAAGAAGAAAACAATGAGTGATGATTTGGGATGTCACATTATCTGCTGGCTTTGGTCCACCAGGTTTTATTTAACGGGAAATCTTAGCTTCATGCTTCCTTCTGCTGATGAGCTGTACGGAGATGCTGGTTTGATTCCCAGGAGACTTGGCACCATCCCATAAAACCAATGGTACCAAAAGCTGGCTCAGTGGCAATGCTGGTATTTTACTTGATGGACCAGTCTTCCATTGACCCCCGTCTTTATGTAAAATGAACCCAACCAAAAATGTTATTGCGTGCATACATTGTGGAGCACAGGGACTTACTTTTCCTTGTCTTTTTTTTTTTTTTTTACCTTTTTTTTTACCTTTTTTTTTACTTTTTACTTTTCCTTGTCTTGACATTTCTGAATATATAATCTTTTTTTTTTTTTGCCTTACATATTTTTTAGATCTCCAGACAAACTGAATTTAGTTTGGGTTTTCCTTATGTTTAAGCCATAATCATCAAATCTGCTGAAATAAATTGGTTAATATATTCATTTTTAAGTAATGAATTTTGATATTTCACAAGTTTAACTTTTTTTATTGAAATCATGGATTTAACATTTCAGTTATATTTCCTGGGATGCACCTGTATTGTTTTTCTTTTTTTTTTTTTTTTTCATATGTTTTGCTATAGTTTTACCTGTTAAAATGCTGTCGGCTTCAGGACCATGTACACTAAATGCACACCAAGACAAGAAAAACGGAGGGAATCCCATGTCTCCCCACCTCCTCCGTTAAGTATGTTCACTTATTAGCATCTGTCCTCCCTCCATGTGGTATGACACACAGAGGATTCTTCATAACCGATGACATTAATTGACGTGATTTGTGAAGGAGAACATTCAGATGTGGGTGGAGGACTCCTAATGATCGTTTTCCACTTCCAGTAGTGGAGTCATTGACTCAATTTTAATTCTGATTTGCAGTCTCTCTTCTTTTCATCTCTGACCATCAGTTGAGTAATAAGTGATGGCCAGAGGGGGCTGAACAATTAGAGGTAGAGCAGGGGCTGTTGTGAGAATCCGTGGGAGTCTGCTTTGCCTCCTGGGTTAAGGTTATGAATGTGGGTCAGCGAACTGTTGGAGACAGCTGGTTTGTTACATAAGAATCTACAGGGGGGCTGCAATCTTGGCACCGGGAACAGGGGCGTTATCCTAGGGAATCCCTATTGCTCTGGCTCAGGAAGGCTGTCCCTGAATGGAAGCTGCCCCTGTGCCAGGGTGGAGGGGGTGGTGGGCAGGCGTGGGCGCTCAGGCCCTCATGATACTTGTCAAGCACTTGGCAAGCCCTTACTATGTCCTGCTACTGTTTGGTGCCGACATGTCAGTTTGTCTGGGGAAACAGTGTTACAATGCCGAGAGGGAAACCCCGAGGCCTTGAGGAAGGCTGCCTGTTGTTTTACCCGATGCGCTCTACATACAGCACTCACACATCCAGCTGTCCGTCTCCTGATTTTTGTAGTCTCTCTATGTGTGTAGATAAAACCAATTTCAGAGAGCAAATTAAGGTTATTGGCTTGAAAAATAAGAACATTGAAAATAATACATTGTTCTGAATGCTTTGCCCAGTTTTTCCTCCATTTATTTCTGGTGGATTGTAAAAAAAAAAAAATAGTGTGACGATTAAATTGTATTAAAGAATGGATCAGAGTGGATTTAGCTGCTGGATCGTACGCGTTGCTCATCTTGCTTCCCAGAGCCTGTACTGCCAGCTCAGCACACTCTTCAGTAATTGAAGCCATTTGCAATGTTGTAGTGTGGTAATGGGCAGATCCATGTCTACCACCCACCCACAGCCTCTACCATTAATCAGAGCTGTGAGGAGTCAAGAGAGCCAGGATTTGGTTGCTATAGCAGGCCCAAGTTTTAGCCCAGAGTCAGCTGCTTTAAAGTGATGTCTTGACATCTTAAAATTGACAAGTTTGGTTTAGATTTTTTATTTCTTCTGGTTTGTGCTTATAGTTTTGTTCTATAACAATTACTTTCAAGAAAGGCATATAATAATTCAAGCTTTAATGGCTTTCTTCCCGATTTCAACACTGACAATATTCTCCAATAGTTCCCAAATGAAATGCATTAAATTCTACATCTGATCTACATCTGATCTACATAGGAAAGCACATTGATGTTCAAGTTTGACCACTTTAGAGCACATCAGAGCTTTAGCCTCTTTTTCCATGACAAAAATTTCTCACAATAAACAAAATAAAACAACAGAAAATTAATATAGAAATAAAATATATTACAATTTACAAATGTGAATATGTTTAAACCCAAGTTATTTTAAATAGATTTAAATGTAGACTTAGTTGAGAGATAATGACATCCTAAGAATTATTCGACATTGCTTATGTGATACTCTCATCTTAGTGAGATGTAATGCAAAAGTTCAACAGAGTAGTGGGCAGATATAAAGTGGCAGGGGGAAAAAAGTTGTTTTTTTTATCTTAAAAGTGTGGCAAACATCTATACAGTTTATTTTCCCTTAAAGGTATAGTGGAGGAAGTTTTTCCGGGTGGATCATCAAAATAAGAGGTCCTCCTAATTGTCAATCATTCTGCTGATATGTTTATCTAAGGCCGCCCTACGTGCTCGTCCCCATTTTCAATTACTGGTGGTCAGTCTTACATAATGGAAAAATTACAAATCTTCTTTTTGGAAAGTAAGCTTGTATGAGCAATTCAAACAGCAACTTTTAAACAGAGCGTGCATTAGGAGAAATGGGCTCGTGCATGCTCTCGCACGCGTTTAATAGGTGTTCCCTCTCGGCAGAGGTTACAGGGTTGTGCATGTGCATTTTTTTTTTACTGGAGAGAGGGGGTCTTTTCAAAAATTTTTGAAGATCCTCCATTATACCTTTAAATATCCCCAGATTTTGTGTTGTTCTATGGAATTCACATTTAAAAATGGTGGTTGTGAAGTGATAAAATATAAAGGATTGACAGGAATCTTGAAGCTTCATCTTGAATTGAAGATACCTTACCAATGAGTTAAATCGTTTTTTATCCAGCACAACCTTCATCCAAACATACCTTTTGGTAAAGTTATAAAATTGTCTAGTGTTGGTGAAAGGGTAGAGTGCATGCCTGTAG